TGGCTTACTTTTTGATATGTTATTGATGTATTTCTGTTAACTCTGCAATTGACCATGTTTCTTTTCTTTCTCCCTCTGTCTCAGCTAAATGTTGCCAGCTACCTACAGATGATCTGCTTGACTGAAAATTTTAGAACTGATGTAAAAGATTTTGTAACGTTGTTAACTGCAAATACTTGTGATATCAGGAAAAGTATCCTTTACTTACAATTCTGGATTAGAAGTGGAGGTGGATTTTTAGAAGAACGGCCATTATCCTTTTGTCGTAAGTTGATTTCTTACAAAAGAAATTTCTGTAATGGGACCCTATATACAATATATATTGTACCCAAATATTTTAAAGATTATACAAATCTTGAGCATCGAGATATCATGTTAATCTTAAAATAAACATACATACATCAATTTTGTTGATGAAAAGTTTTGTAAGCATTAAATGTGGGTAAATACATTTAAATTGAACTGGAACAAATGGTTATACATTTATAAACGGTTTCTTATAAACAAATAGAATTATATTATTTAGCAACTTCCTTTTCCACTTATTAAAACATGTTAGTGATTTTTTCCATATGTCATTTATCCATTACTATAAGTTCCCTTTTAGCTTCTTTAATAGTCTATAATTCTGTTGTTCCTAAGAACTTTATTTCAGAAATGCTTTATTTCTTATCAGTCTTCAGTCATCGTGACCTAATTGAATCACAGACATTTGCTGAGGACTTTCTCCATGCCAGGTCCCGTGTTTATATGAGTAAGACATGGTTCCTTCCCTGAAGAAGTTCATAGTTTGTGGTTTCCTTGCTCCATAGCCAGTTCTATAGTTACAGATCCTGCTCTGGGAAATACACAAATATTTAAATTTTAAAAAGGTGAAGTTCTGTAATATTAATCCCTTAATGGTTTTCTGATTTGATTAAATAAAATAAAATTTTAATATTTTATTCTCTTTCCAAGTTTTCAAAGTATTTAATTCAGTTTAAGTTGGTAGTTTTAACTGTTTCTTAGAAGTAAACATGATAAATAAGACATGGAAAATATCCTGTTATAAACAAATTGTTAGTAACTATCACCATATTACTGGATATAAAATGCTATACCAAGGACTTTTAGAAGACAGAAACTAAGTATGGCATTATTTCTTTTTTTTGAAGATCTTAAATGCATTTTATTCCTTAAAAATCAGACACACACACTGGAAATTCAAACAGTACAAAAGTATATAAAGTAAAAAGTAAAAGCTCTTTCCCAGTTCTTAAAGGTAGCTACTGTTAGACCTTTATCTATGCATATACAAATATTGCTACCTACTTATTTAGAAAAATTAACCAATACTATATTTAGTAAACAATTTGCTTTTTTTAAACTTGACAATTTATTCTCAATATATACAGTTCTAGTCCTCTTTTTCATAGCTGCATGCTATTCCATAATAGAAAGTGAATGTAACATTAATTATTAGGGGACATTTAAGCCTTCTTCAGTTTGTCATTAAAGTATGCAGTGAGTATCTTTATACATTATCCTTAAGCATATCTGTGAGTACTTGTCAAAGAGAATTCTAGAAGTATGATTGCTGGGCCAAAGGCTATGTACATTTTTTATTTTGGTAAGTGTTGCTAGGTTGCCCTCCAAAGATAATTGCTCCCACGAAGAGATTTTGTTTTTTTGTTTTTGTTTTTTGACATTTTGCTAGCTTTGTTGCTCTCCTTCCCCCACCCGCTGCAAGCTTCCACTGAGGCAGAGGTACTGCCCGCCCTGCTCTACCCAACTGTCCCTGCCAGTCCCCTCCTGCACTTCGCCCTGGCTTTGTCGTGGGGTCTGAGCCCTCACACAGTGGGCACAGCCTGTGAGCCGTGGAGAGCAGAGGCTGTCTGGTGGGCCCATGAAGAGTTTGAGGTTCCTTTACTTGTACCTCTGGCAAAAGCAGGTTATCAATTATTTTAATTTTGCCAGTTTAAAAGGTGAAAAATGAATAGTATCTTATTTTGATTTCCATGATTACTGGTGAAATTACATATCTTTTTATAAGTTTGTTAGATACTTGTGTTTCTTCTGGGACTTGCCTGTTCATCCTTGCACTTTTTTCTATTGGATTGTGTTGTAAGCCTACCTCATGTCCCACCCTCATTTAAAACCTATGTGGAAATAATGTTTGTATTATACTTTATGAATTAGATACATATATAGAGTAACAAAATGGGAGTTAGATCCAAAAGATGCCAAAGGATCTTGGATTTTAAATAACTTTGCTACAATTTGTTTAAAAATATGGGTAGCTAAGATTTCCTTTTCTTAATTTTGTAGGAGGAAATAGCAGACATGTACAGTTTGTTTGCTCTGAAGATGACCCTGATTCCAAAAATAACCCTAAAAATACTAAAAGGAATCCAACAGACCTTCCCAAATGTGACACTGGCTGTGCTGAGACCATGTTTGGCCTTAAGAACATTTTTTCACCATCTGAAGACTTATTTTCATTTTTGAAGGTATTTTCAGTGTCTAGTTTGAAGTGTTAAATTTATGTTTCTTTTTCATTTTCTCAACACTAACTTCTGTCTTTTGAATCATAAGATTAACTTAAATTTATTAGTAATTTTTAGACTTAAGATTTCTGATTTCAGCACATTATACCACTTTGACAAATGGTGCATAGGCATTGCTCTATATGTGCATTAGCAGATTTAGAATAGAACTTAGAAATATTTCAGATTAAAAAAAGACTATTTCTGACAAGTAGTTATTGTTGTAATTTTTTTATTTTTTTATTTTTAATGGAGGTACTGGTGATTGAACCCAGGACCTCCTGCATGCTAAGCATGCACTCTACCACGGAGCTATACCCTCCCCACCAGAACAGTAGTTTTTAAACATATGAGCTTCTAATTATTGAATTAGGGTATAACCAAGTATTAGAGAATTTAATTCTTCAAATTAACAATCTAAATCTATTTTTTGATGTATTACGGAAGTGTACATCAATAAAATTATGACGGGTAAGGGCTCATTACTTTGAAGATAGGTAGAAATGACATTATATTTATATAGGTAGAAAAATGTTCAGACTATATGCTGTTATAATATTTTTTTACTCAAAATTGTTTTTCAGCACAAAATCAGAACAGAGGAAGAATGGAATAAGCTCATCCAGCTTCTTAAAGAATTCCACGTGCAGAATGTAGATTTCTTATATAGTAATCTTGAGTTTATTCTGCCATTACCTGTTGATATCATTCCAGAAACCGAAAACTTTTGTGGTTCATCAGTGAGTGTGGACACCAGTGCAGCAACAAAAAATATGAAATGTCTTGCTAGGAAACATTCTGAAGGAGAGAAGCCATTGAAAAAGTCACAAAAAAAGAAACGTAAGAAAAAGATAGTAACTCTAGATGACAGTGACTTATTTGACACCAAATTGGACTTTTCTGATGAACTTATTAGCCTTTCCTCTGTATCTCCTTCAAATTCAGAAGAAAGCAAAGCCAGAGACAAAGAAAGCATTCCAGAGACAAAGAAACTGAACAGATGTCTACAGTCAAATACTGAATCTATACCTCATCCTCCTAAAACACCAGCAGAAAAAATAAGTTCTGGCCTTGTTTCACAGTGTTTAAATTCTCTCACTGAGTTCATGGACAACATGTCCTTCTTAGATGCCCTTTTAACTGATGTAAGGGAACAGAAGGAATTTGGTAAAAATGATTTTGGTTGGACAGATGGAAAAGTTAAAAGTGGACTTTGTGATGAGTTTAGTCTCGAGAGCAGTGATGGATGGACTTCTCAAAGCTCTGGAGAATTAAAGGCAGCTCTAGAAGCTCTCAGCTTTACTAAATGTTCTTCTACTATTTCAAAAGCATTGGAAACCTCTCTGAATTCTTGCAAGAAATTAGGAAGAGATCCAACAAAAGAGCTTACTTTTTATGTTTCACAAAAGCGCAACAATGTACACTTTAGTCAGTCAGCTGCTAATTTAGAGTAAGTCTTACTTCTTTTTGCTTTTTATTTTTTAATAATAAATGGTAAAGGGGAAATTATTAATTTCTTCTTACTAATTTTGAAATGCTGGGCATTATTGATCATGCTAAGCCCTTAATATTAATAATGTAGTTTCTAATGAGACAGTTAAGGAGGCCAGCCTGATTGCTGGAAGAGAAAATAATGAGACACTGTTGGGGGCGGGACTAGATTTGGGAGACTCCTGAATAACAGGGTTTGGATTTGCTGTGCATATAGCAGGTAGCTATTAAGGTCTTTTCAGTAGGGTAGTGACTGATGTGTTGAAAATGATACAGGAAGTTACTCTGGAATACAGTTAATCTAGTCTAGACCAGAAGCTGGTTGTTTATGGGATTGTTACATTTTTATTGGGCATTAAAAATCAAAAGATAATGCATTACTTTTCATTTACAGCAGTGCTTGGAAGAGGACAGCAGTCATTAAAAGTGTATTTTCTAGCCGATCTCTTCTGAACCTGGGTAATAGACAAGCTAGTATCATTGAATACTTGCCAACTCTCCGAAACATTTGTAGGACTGAGAAGCTAAAAGAACAAGGAAAAAGTAAAAGAAGGTAAAGTTTCTATAAAAAGAACATTTTAGTTAGCTGTTTCAAGACTGATAAATATTCTCATCTCATGGAACTATTAATATTAAATTGTATTTTTCCTTGTAATTTTGACAGGTTTCTGCACTATCTTGAAGGAATTCACCTTAACATTTCAAAAGAGACTATGAACACTTTGGCAGCTGGCTTCCCTTAATATTCTACTTTAACAATGCCTTGTACAGATTGTTGTGTGGTCCTTAAGACACCTTTTTATATTGATTTTCATGGCAGAGTTTATTTCTCTTACTGTACATTTAAAACAGACTATTTGTATATTTTTTATTAGTGTGTAAATATTTTAAGTGAAAAAAATTGAGTTACAAATTGTATTTATGATTGTGGTAGTATTTTTTTCCTGAATTTTTTGTATTATCTGATTTAGCTTTGTTGGAGTATTTTTTTTTTAACTTGTGTGAGCTGTTTCTAGAAGGTAGAGTTCACTAAGATATTTCTAAAGGTGTTTCAATGTTAAACTAATCCATAATTTTCCCCTTTCCTGTTATTCTTAATCCATCTCTCTCCAACCAAGTGTCAGCCCTCTGTCAAGTTGTGAATGTGAATCACCTAGGTGATAATCTTTTAAAAAATAAGTTTACACAATCAGAAATACAAAATAGCATATATAATACGTAAGTAAACTTCCTAGGGAAGAAATTACACATCATTTTTCAAAAAGTAAGATCTTCTGATAAATTTGAGTTTACTCATCCAGTGTATTTTACCATGTGAATCACTGAATGCTGACAAGGTGAAATCAAGATTATGAATTGTAGTTTTCATAAATGTTTTTTAGCAACCATACAAATGTGATATCTTGTATATTTTGACAACTCCTTATTTGTCTTGTATATTTTTCTTGTATTTTTATACCATTGATGTTTTATTTCATAAAGATTAATGATGTTAATATAAATATTTTGGACAAACTGCTATTCATTAAAACTATAACAAAGAATGATTCTACTGTAGGATTTCTACATGATAGCCATTTCCAGTTAAGGTTATATTTTTGGAGAAAGTATATACTTTTAATTACAAGATTTTAAAAAACCATATTGTACTTAAAATTTTTACAATCAGATAATCAGGTATCTTTAAAAATAGGTTCCTATTTCAAGGGTTTAAATTATATATTAGCTTAATATTCAATTATATTATCTAGTAAATTATATTCTCACCTTAAAAGCTAAGGATCCTAATTTTGTAGTTGAATAATACAAATGTATACCTATTCACAAAATTTTTTACCACTTATTTGTTCAACCTTTCTTGTATTGATAGTGTATTGATTCAATTAAAGGCTAAAGCTAAAAGACTGCGATATTTAAATGGGAGTTCCAGGTGTAATCATCTGGGTAAACATGGATATTGTATAGGCTTGGATATAGGCTATATCTTACAGGTTTCGTCCCTGCAGAAAAGAGAGAATAAGATGGAAGTCTTTTTTTTTTTTTTTTTGGAAGGCATTTTTTTTTTAAGTGTATGGTTTTATTTTTTTCTACTGAATACAAGCGTTCACTACCTGTAGATCAGTTACCTGTTAATTTGATCAAAAGTCGAGAAAATAATAAGGATATTTTCCTCCCTAATAGGGACACGTTTAATATCTTTTTTTAAGGTTTAGCTAATTTTGGGAAAAACATTTTTTCTCTGTTCTTAAAGGTGATGAGTTCCTGTAAGACTTACGATTTACTTTTGTGATAAAAGTAACTAATTTTGATGACTTTTCAGTACTTAGCATCTTATCCTATGAATGTCTAACTCAGATACATTTTCACTAGTTATTTCCAGAAACATGTGCGAGGTAGAATGCCACACATCTGACAGGAACAACTGGGTAGCTGGTGAAACTTTACCGGTGTACAACAGTGGCAAAAGAGGTGGTCTGGAGGAAAGAGGATGATTCCAGAAGTGAAGTTTGGGGGGTCTGCATTTCCAGGGCAGAGATGCGTATGTATACAGTCACATATGTAGAGGTTTACACGTGCATGGCCACAAGTCTACAGTGCATGTCAGACTCACTAAAGGAGCTGGAGGTGCGAGAAGGGAGGGCTTCCACGTATTTTAAATATTTCTGATTATGTGGGTTTTTTCCCAACAAGTGTATTTCACTTTTCGATTAAAGGAAAGAAAAGACAATGCTTTGACATCAGAGACTTGGGTTCATTATAGGTTAAATATAATGAGGGCCTGACCTAAGGCAACTATAATGGAAAAGGGAGAGGTGTGGGGGGAAGAATACTAAGTACTACTTTCCTCAAAAGATGGTCTGTTAAGTAAAATATTTCAAAGTTTAAAAATGAGCCTGTTAGACAAAGCCTGTTTGTTCTAGGTTTAATAGACCGAGCCAATGAAAACTGCCTTTTGGAGGCAGTGCATCAAACCACATTGTACTCACACAGTAAGAAGAGGATTCCGCAAGTTGTGTTATCTATTATATTTAGCTTTACTCCCGCGATGAGCACCATCCAGAAAGCTCGTTATTCCCTATTTTAACAATATAATAATGCAAATCCTTTAGTACAGATGGTATTTGCTTTTGAAAGAAGGTAACTTTGTTTCTTGTTTTGGCTGTTTAGAGGGCATCTTATTTTTTAACACTTAAACCTAAAAGGTACAAAATCTCATTATTTACTGATTTAGCCTTGGTTTATTATTGTGTAAATCATTCAGTAGCCAAAAGTCTGACATTAAACATCTAAAAACACTCAAACGCGTTAACTCCATTAACATGGATGTTCCAAACAGTTGGTTTCACAACTTTAGCGCTACTATATAAAATTAATACAACATTAGAGCACGTAACATACTAACCTCAGATTTCAAGATTCAGTGTTAAAAACTGCTAATTCATAGAAGGCAACAGCTTGTAATAATGAATCATATAACTCTTCTGCTCTGTACTGTTCAGTAGATGAGAACAGCTGTCTGTAGCGGACTATCTTATCTGGTGGGAAGAACACCCGCGGCTCTTCTTTCAGGACAGACTCTGAGAGAAGCTGCTTCACTATTTCTTTTCCACTAGTCCGTGTGTCACCAATCATCAGTTCAAAGTGCTTCCCCACAGCATTTCGATTCATGCTTAGCACCTGATGTTGGCCATCCTGGGCAAAAGTCTTATTTAATAAGGCATACAGCATGGCTTCCACGATATGAAAATGTAACAGTACAGGAAACAGAGATGAGTTCTGAATTGAAGGCCCTGTTTTTTCCAGAACATAGAAGTCAGCTTTGGGCATCTTTGAAATGACTGAAGAAATCTTGACAAAAACAAAAACAAAAAAAAGATAAAATAAGTGAGCAGAAATATTCATTAAGTTTTAATGTTTGGCCCCCACCTCTGTCCCACTTCCGTTTTTAAAATAGAACTATATAACTTACATTATATTGCTTTTGACAATTTTGAAGTAACTGAAAGAGCATTTTATGGAGGTGTCAGGACAGCCAAGTTCTGGTCGTGGTTCTAACAGGAGCAAGCTGAGCTAAGACAAGTCAGTTAATCCTAATTACTAGTTTCTTCATCTGTACATAATTTCTAAAATCTATATTGGCCTTAAGATTAGACAACTTAAAACCGTTTCCTTAACCTTTTGAAAATTTCTAGGGTAGAGCATAGGGTGTGAATAACTAGGCTAGAATCAATCACCTTTGCAACTGACTGATCACATCAGATGCCTGACTGAACCAGGTTTCACAGATTTCATCAGGGTGATAATTACTGTGCATCTCCCGAGGTTCTGAACATTAAATGAGACAATCTGTGATAGCGTTCTGAAAAATGAGCTTCATAAATAATGAAAATTTCCTTTTTTAATTTTTATTTTTTAGTTGAAGTATAGTTGATTTTCAATGTTTAAGGTGTATAGCAAAGTGATTCAGTTATACATATATACATAAATGTTTTCAGATTCTTTTCCATTATAGGTTACTACAAGATATTGAATATAGTTCCCTGTGTTACACTGTAGGACCTTGTTTTTTCTTTTAGCTTTAAAGGAACTTACATAATGTTCTCCACAGTGACTGCACCAAATTACATTCATACCAACAATGTAGGAGGGTTCCCTTTTCTCCACTCTCTCTAGCATTCACTATTTGTAGACTTTCTGTATTCCTTCTGGGGAGAAATATCTATTTAGGTCTTCTGCCCATTATTTTTACTGGGTGGTTTGTTTTTTGATATTGAGCTGTATGAGCTCTTTGTATATTTTGGAAATTAATCTCTTGTCAGTTGCATCATTTGAAAACATTTTCTCCCAGTCCATAAGTTGTCTTTTCATTTTGTTTCCTCTGATGTACAAAAGCTTTAAGTTTAATTAGGTCCCATTGGTTTATTTTTGCTTTTGTTTCCGTTACTCTAGGAGACAGATCCCAAAAAATATTGCTCTGATTTATGTCAGAGTGTTCTGCCTGTTTTCCTCTAAGAGTTTTATAGTATCTGGTCTTAACATTTAGGTCTTTAATCCACTTTGAGTTTATTTTTGTATATGGTTTTAGAGAATACTCTAATTTCATTTTTTCACATGTAGCTGTCCAGTTTTCACAGCACCACTTACTGAAGAGACTCCTCTCTTATATATTCTTGCCTCCTTTGTCATAGATTATTGACCATAAGTGTGTGTGTGTTAATTTCTGGGCTCTGTATCCTGTTCCACTGATCTGTGTGTCTGTTTCTATACCAGTACTGTGGTGTTTTGATTACTGTAGCTTTGCAGTATAGTCTGAAGTCAGGGAGCGTGATTCTTCCAGCTCTGTTCTTCTTTCTCAAGATTGTTTTGGCTATTTGGGGTCTTTTGTGTTTCTATACAAATTTTAACATTTTTTTGTTTAAGTTCTGTGGGAAAATGCCATTTGTCATTTGATAGAGATTGCCTGGGGTGGTATGGTCACTTTAACAACACTGATTCTTCCAATCCAAGAACACAGTACATCTTTCCATCTATCTGTGTCATCTTCAATTTATTTCATCAGCATCTTATACTGTTTGGAGTACAGGTCTTTGGCCTCCTTAGGTAGATTTATTCCTAGGTACTTTATTCTTTTTGATGTGATGGTAAATGGGATTGTTTCTTTAATTTCTCTTTCTAATATTCTGTTGTTAGTGTATAGAAATGCAACAGATTTCTGTATGTTAATTTTGTATCCTGCAACTTTACTGAATTCATTGATGAAGTTTCTTAACATTCAGAATAATATACCACTGAGTCTCTCACTATCTGCCTTTGATTCATAAGGCATTTCTTGAAATAAATGAAGATTCAATTTTTTAAAAAATCATAGAAGTGATGGAAAACATAATAGGAATGGGTGACTCATAATTATCAGAAGAAAATCGACCCTTACCATTCTTTTACATTCCTTTTAGGTCTAGAAGATTACACAAGGAGTTCTAGCAGGTAGGAATTTGGAGGTGCAACTGCCTTACCTCTTCTAAATAGACAGATGATGGGTATGTTCCTTTCATCAATCGGCAACATTCATTTTGCTGCCAGTCCAGCACTGCCAATTTCCGATCAAGGTGAGCCCAGGCAATTCTCCGAGTACCAGAAACAATGGATACGATACTATTAACTGCCTAAAACAAAAAAGGCTGGTTTAATTACAAGCGTAAACATTTTAACAGACACAAAATTTAAGCTACAAACTCAGAAATCCCAATTAGTGTATGTAACAGAACTATATTTACAGTGTATGAACTGAGAATTGTTAAATATAGGAGTAATTATTATTAAAAGGTAAACAGTAGCAGTCAGTTTAAAGGCAAAGAATTTCTACTTGCTCTCAACAGGTAGCTCAAACTAGGCATTCAAATATTCAAATGTTGCTGGGGAAGGTGCGAGACACTGGGAAACAAGGGACATAACCATACTTTATAAGAAATGCCACCATACAACAGTTACACTGTAGAGAGGAGAAATGGTCAGGAAGACTTACTGGAGGACTAAGACAATCAGTAAAATGGTACACGGGGAGGTATTTCACCCAGATGTCTGCAGATATAGGCTGACACCTCCCAGGCAGTGGAATAAAGAATGTGCAAGTGGGAAAAGGGCAGAAGGGTGTGCAGTTTTCTGCAAAACATATCTTGCTTTATCATGAGAGCTGCTGGAAGCCACCGAAGCATGTAACATTCTGGCATACCTGAGATTTACATTTCAGAAAGATCACAGACAGCTCTGTGGCAGAGGGGCCTGAGGAGGCTAGGCTTAGGGTAGAGATTTGTGTTAGGTATCTGTCATTTGACAAAGTATGAAGAATCTAAGTCACTGATGGTGAGAAAGGCAAGAAACAGGGATAAAGGAGGAGCCCAGGAAAATTCCAGTTTTACTTCAGTGACTGTATGGCGTCATTAATCAAGATAATGACAGCAAGCAGATCATCTTGGGAAGTCAAGGGAGACAAATTATTTTTTAAGGTACTGACTTCAGGTTGCCTACACAGCTTCTAAGGGGAGATAGGTAATAGATAATTGGATATGTGGCTTTAGCTCTGTGTCAAGTCTGGGCTGGTATATGGTACATAACATCACTCCCACATGACTCAGTTATATGGGCAAATAATATGCTCTATAGGTAGGGAAGCAGATAAGCAGGAACATTTATAATTCTATACCCATCTTCATTCACTGCTAAGGTATGTATAATTATCCATTAAAGGCAGAATAGTTAGGATGCCCACACATCTACAAAATACAGGCAGGCCTTCTTTCGGTTCTTTTCTTTAGCTCAATGATTCTCAAGTTTTAGTGTACATAAGAATTACTGAACCAGTTTGCACACAGTAGTTAATGGGCAACAGATTTTTTTTCAAGGACTCTACTGTGTAGTTTTTTCCACACAAACTGACTTTAGAACCTAGCCTTCTAAATAAAATACAACTCCACTATAATCAGAGTATAAATAGTTTTTGCCGTAAAATTTGATTGATAAGTTCCAGACCAACAGCAGCAGGAGTCCATGGGTGAACTTAATGAAATCTGCAAGTCCTCTGAAAATATATGCAATGTTCTATGTACATGTGTTGTTATTATTTTTTTCCTGAAAAGAGGGTCCATAGCTTTCATCAGATTTTCAGAGAGTATCCATTATACCCCCAAAACTGAGAACTACTGGCCCAGAAAGAATTGTGATTATTATTACAGGATAAGAGAATGTTTTATCACATGTTACACAGTACCTAAGTTTCATTCCTCCAAGTTTAAATGTTTGCTGCGCCAAGTAATTCTAATATTTACTTCTTAAGACAACATTGAAAAAAGATTTGCTTTTAGAATGCTTTTTAAAAGGGAGATGGAGGAGACAGAAAATAACTTTAAATTCTGCTGGAAAGACTAGTATAATGTTCTAAAGTCACTCCTTGGCTATAACCCATCTTTGCATCTTCATTTCTCATTACTCCCAACATAGCCCTCAGACACAGTCAGGTATCTCAACATTCCTCTTAAATAAATCTTGCACAGACCTACTTCTCTACATCAACTGCTCTTTCTTCTTAGAATGCCTTCCTCTTCTTGCTAGCCTAGTTCTCTCTCCACGATCCAGGCTGAGTTCTTCCAGTAAACTTGCCCCAACAGGCAAAACGCAGAGTTCTCTCCTCTAAATTGCTAACTTACTACCTGTACATCTCATTCTTTGAGATTAACCATATAATATAATGGGTTATCTATTTATACGTGTATCTCTGAGCCCACCAACTAAACTATAAGCTGCCTGAAGAACCCTGTCTTGGTGGCCAGAATAATGCTTTGCAAAGCAAGTTCTCAAACAGTGTAAGAGGCGTTAAGAAAAGGGGTATACCTTAAGTCTCTCTCTTCCTACTTCCGGTTTGATGAGCTTTCTCAAGAGCTGGTTTTCCGGTAACTTTTTTTTTTTCCCTCCAGTCTCTGGTGAAAGAATGGACTTACAAACTTTAAGGGTAGTTTTATACCGGAACAAGGGTACGTTCATTAAACTCTCCAAATTCTGAAATGGCCCAAACTTTTCTCTGTGCTCTACAATGTTGATGGACTTTCTTCCCCGAAGCAATTTGAAAGCTTCAAGTTCTTTATTAGATGCTGTATTCAACACATGCAAGATGGAAGCCTGCTGTTCTGAAGAGAAGAGCTTGTCAAGTGCCTTTCCAGACTCCTTTGTATTTTCATCAGAAAAATCAACATGGGGAATAATTTTCTTTGGTGCAGTGGTTTTTTTCCGACAGCAGGAATTACGTAAGGTCTGGAATAAGGATGACTCTAATGGAACTGGAAAACATCTCCACCTCCCTAAAAGGAAAATTTAGCAAAATGTAAGTTGAGACGTCGTACTTCCTTTTAGTTTTAGTAGTGGCCTAAACAGAGCCTTTGCAAAGTGACATTGACTTCCCCATAATTTAAGAACTAGTGGACCCTATTCACAGGAGATATCTTCTGATTTTTGTGTATAAGCCCTACATTTTACTACCCAGAAATCTTATTTTATGTCCATCAAGAAGCATGCATTTGAAACAATGATTTCAACTGCGTAACGTTTTTAAAAATTTAAACCTTAGGGAAATCTTTTTGTAATTAATAGATCTCCTAAACAATATTTATCTTCACTAGTTTCTTTCTCACCCAGTGGAACCAATGAAAACTAAATTTTATACGTTTATAAGAAACGTTTTATCTGAGTGAGTGGCAGATTTACGAAGGTTTTTATCTTCTGTACACTTCACAAGATTCTTCCATGACTATATTTCTACGAGCAAAAGAAAAACCATGTAAGGAGCAACTCTGTAAAACCAATGAAAGTCACTCCGACATCGCGGCCACAGGGAAACCACGCAGCCAGAAGTAAGCAAGCAGCCGTTAGAATGTGAACCCTCCGCCCTCGGCCCAGTCCCAGGAGCCGCCCGCGGACCCCTAAACCCAGGGAAGGAAGCACAATCGCTGCGAGGCTCGACGACCAGCACCAACTCAGAGCGGACTCCAAGAGGGAGATGTGGACATAGGACCTGAGGGAGGAAATACTCCAGAGCCAGGGACTAAGGAAAGACGAGAAATTCACCTGGTGTCGCAGACACCTTACCTCCCGCTAAGAGGAGACCAAGGACGTTCATCTTCGGCGAGGCTCCCACGGATCAGTCTTCCGCCACTGACTTCCGGTTCCTGTGTGCTTCACCCAAAAGGGCCCGGCCTTTCAGCGGAAAGGTTCGGGTGGAAGCGGCGTTCCGGCCAGGTACTAGTTGCTTCGCTCTGGGCGGTGGGTGGGCCGCCTGGCCCGGTGCTCCTACGCCCCCAGGCGGTGGGGCGCCGCAGGCTTATTTCGCTGCGTTTGGGAAACAGTCTCGTCCCAACCTGCCCCTCACGGCAGCTGAGTCTAATCTCTGGGAAGAAAACACCTAGGCCGGTTTTAGGCTGTAGTTGACAAAATCCCTTCTTTGCGGAGCCTCCCTGGTTTATTATCCCGGCATATAGGTTGATGAGTTCCCACTGGGGCCCTGCCTGGGGCGCAAGGAGGAGAGCCTGGTTGGGGAGCGTAGTCAGGGACACACATAACATCAGGTGTAATGGAGTAACTGGGAGAGTTGCGAGGTGTTTCAGGAGCTCAAGACAGGAACAGTGTGAAGGGAAGGGCGAGGTAGGAGGAGGTGGCTTTGGCACTGGGCCTGGGTAGTCGAAAGTCCAAGCAGTATCCCATGTGGAAGGGATGGAGGGAGATGAGGCTGGCGCCAAGTTTGATTGGGCCTTGAATGTGGAATGGAGCAGTTGAAGAGCTCCACTAGGTAGCCAGAAGCCACTGGGAATTTTGTGGACTCAGATTTGAGGTGTGTTTCTAGAAAATTAGCCATATGTCGTAGTGTGAGGCTGGGTTGGAGGTGAAGAGCCTAGGAACAAGGAGAGGAGTCGAGACGGTAGTGTGTCTTCTCAAGGGACAGGCAACTAGAAGGAAATTGAACCCGGGAGGTTGCATGATCATGTCACCCAAGATGGCTGTTCTCTTGCTCTCTGTCCATCCCCTGCTAGACCAGTCTCTGCTTCAACCCTGCACCCTACTCACAAGGCTGACCTTCCCTCTTAATCATAGAGCCTAATGAGTAAATGCCTACATACCTGCCCCCAGCCCCAACTAGTGTTTGTTCTAATCTATGGATGAGAACATCTCCACTATGATAGTTTAATCAAAGGGGTGGTGAGAGGTGGGTTCCTCTACTGGTTTCCCTGGTAACTGATGAGCCAACCTGATTCAATTCACTGTATAACTGATAACCTCTCTCCCCTCTTCCCCCCACCAAGGAAGACTTCTGCCACCATGGTGAGGTGTTGCTCCAGAACCCTTTTGCTTCAGGCATGTAAGGTCCCCTATCCATTAAACCATTCATGTCTCTGTTGCTGACTCCGGGCTCTTTCTTTGAACTTGAGGCAGGACAAGTAAAGGGCTTGCAGGCCTAGGGGGAGTGCAGCCCAGCAGAGGTTTAAGGAGAATGGAAAGAAGAGGATTCTTTATGGGAAATGGGGAGACTTTAGCTAATTGTGTGAGAAACAGGGAAGTCAGGAGAGAGGTAGCTTTTGGAGGGAAAGGGGGTGGGGTTTGTGTTTTTATGAGGCAGCAGTGTCTGTGTAGGTGTTGTCCAGGTGGAAACGTAGCCAATCATAAGTGTTTGTAAGAACTACTCGTGGGAATTCTAGGGTTTTTTTTTTCTGGTTTATTGATTTCATTGCTGTATAGAATTTCTTTGCATGACTGAAACAAAATTTTTTTCCGCATTATGTATGTTGTTTTCAGTTTTACTCTATTGCAAACAAGGCTACAATGATTATTCTTGGAATGTCCTTGTGCTCATATGTGTGAATTTCACTAGAGTTTACATACAGGGAAAGGAATTACTAGTCATAGGGCACACACTTTAAGATTCTTGCCAATTTCTGGGGAACTTGGGAATCTAACAAGAAATAAAGTCAACTTTTTGTGCAAAATCCTCCAAATCAGTGGGAAACAATTTCCCTTAATGAGGTTTTAGGAGTTGAACTGCATCCATCAAAAAAGATTGTTGAAGTCCTTCCATCAATACCTCAGAATGTGACCTTATTTGGAGGGGAGGGTATAGCTCAGTGGCAGAGCGCATGCTTAGCATACAAAATGTCCTGGGTTCAATCCCTCCGGAAAAAAAAAGAATGTAACCTTGTTTGGAAATAAGGTCATTGCAAACATAATTAGTTGAAACTAAAATGAGGTCATGCTGAGCTGGGTTGGGGGCTGCTAATCCAATATGACTGGTGTCCTTATAAGAAGAGGACTATCTGAATGTGTGTGAACTTGGAGGCAGAGATTGGAATGATGCACCTACAAGCCAAGGCCTGAGGTCACTCCAGGTCTCACACACACCACAAGGTAGGAGACAGTCATGGAACAGATTCACCTGCAGAAGAAACCAACCCAGCTTGCACCTTGATTTCAGGCTTCCAGCCTCCAGAACTGAGAGAGAATAAATTTCTGTTGTCTTACGCCACCCAATTTGTGGTAACTTGTTACAGCAGCCCTAGACAAGCAACACAGGAGGATGTAAGAAGCCCTGGTGATGGATGCTCTCGGAGGCGATGTGGTTCACTGGCAAGAGGCAACAGTGACTTACTGTTTGCCCGAGCTTAGACAGTTTCTCATCCTCCCTGAACCTCAGCTTCCTCATTTGTGAAATGGAGATAGTGGTACCTGCGTCACACCACTAAGAAACCCTGCTAAGAGGATTTCTCCTTAGAAACGGGATGCAGAGAGCCTGGCATTTAATAAGGGTTCAATAAATGTTACTTCCTCTATTGAGGCATTACCTCTTCTTCAGAGCTAATTATTAATGACCTCGAGGGGAAACGGGGAAACTCCCTCATTCCTCAGCGCATTCATTCATAATTACTTTGACCGGATTCTAGAAGTGGTGAGGAAAGAAGCAACCACTAGATGTGATTTACTGTAAATCAGAAATCAGTGGGGTCAAAATGAAAGTCGTCCTCTTCCCCAGAAACCAGCTTGTCACTTCCCTGTTTTTGTTGTCCAGAGGCAGACGTCCCTGGCTCCCCCCACTGCTCGCATTATGTCTAGCCTGTTATCTAGTTCCTGTGTTTTCCAGACTTTTTGACCATGACCCAGGACACACTGATGTACTTTGAAACAAAAGCTTCATTAAAAAACACTTGTGCTTTGAGGGGAGGATACAGCTCAGTGGTAGAGCACCTGCTTAGTGTGCATGAGGTCCTAGGTTCAATCCCCAGTAAATCAAAACCAAACAATCATTTAAAAAATACTTGTGTTTTTATATAGGATGCACCTTGACATTTCCTATTATCTTTGTTTTTTAACAACACTGATTGGTTTTTAAACCCACGGGACATCAGGTGGCGATGTCTAGTAGATGGATAGATATCTAAGGGAGAAGACTGTGCTGGGGTATAGATTCAGAGGTGATCACCGTAAAGAGATGCCACTTCATCCCGTGAGAAACCATGGGTGGGGCCAGGGAGATGGGTAGTGTGAGAAAAGCACGGGAAGCCAAGGAGAGAACCTGGGAGGACCAGCATTGGGGGTGGGTAGAGGATTCAGATGCCCCAAAAGATGGAGAAGCAATGTTCAGAGAGATTTAAAAGGAAACAGGACAAAGTCAAGTTAGAGAGACAGGACATATAGGATGTTGAGGAGGAAAAAGATTTTTTTAAAAAATATCTGGGTTAATTGTGTTGATGAAGATTTAATTAACTATCAAATTGAGAAGAAAAAAAGGGAATTTTATTGGAGCCAAACTGAGGATTATAACCCAGGAAGCAGATTTTCAGAAAGCTCTGAGAACTGTTCCACCTGTTAGAAGTTGAAGGCATAGTCATATACATTTTTGAGACAAAGGATTGTACATTAAAATGACATACTGGTGTTTTACATACAGTTTGCCAAGGATAGAGTCCAAGAAAGCACAAAGCGAGCAGCAAGTCACTGTGACCCCCTACAGAGCTGGGTAAGAACACTATTCTTTTAAGAAGTTACATTGCTAGTGTCAGAGGAAAGAAAAAAAATTTTGATTTTTACAGCTGAGCAGGCACGCCCATCTCTAAGGAGCTCTGGTTAATGTGTAATGCGGATGTACCGTGCATGTGAGCGAGGGAGGAGGCCCAAACAAACACAGAGAGAGAATTTTATGCTTAATTTTTTCTTGCCCTGCCTTAAAATATAACTTTTATTTCATCAGTTGGAACCACTAAACTGATACTCATTTCATGATTCACTCTCGTGTGGCATCTTGCAGTTTAAAACACATGAAATTCTATCAGCCTTACCTGCAAAATGTCTTTTTTACCTCTTCTTTGCCACTTTAATCAGAGGCTCATTGTCTCCCACCTGGGCTCTTGCAATACCTCTCCCCATCCCCCGCCCTCCCACCCCCAACCCCCAATTTTGTTAGCTTGTCAGCCTAGCCCCCTCCCTGTCCTTCGCACATACCCTCCCTGTCCTGGCCCCAGTGCTGACTGAACGTCCAACTCCTGCCCAGTGGAGGGGCCTCACCCTTCTCTTCCAGCTCTTTCTCTCCTCTCGCCACCAGGTACCCACAGTGGCACTGGACACCCACAGTGCTGGCGAGCCTGGCTGTAGGCAGGTGACCATGTCTTCAGTCATGGTCATCCCGTTTCCCTTGGCTAACCATTAAGATAAGAATGGGTGTGGTTCTGTTTGGGGCCTCGGAGGGAAAGATTTTACACCCTGAGGAAGAGTGGGAGCAATGAGGTGGGGGAGCGGGAAGCAGCCTGTCTGCTTCCTTCTTGTGGCCCTGATCCTGGGACGATGAGCTCAAAGGAGCAGCCACATCTCCGTGGACAGGCAACGCTGACAAGGGCAAGAAGGACAGGACTTAAGGACATTGTTTAACTGCCGGACCAACCCTGAAACCACCTACCTGCAGACTTTTGGTTCGGTGGGGAGTAACTGACCTTGTTGTGTAAGCCACGTTTAAATCAGTGTTCTGTTACATGGAGCTGATCACTTCCGGACTGACACCCACTGAGAGTGCTGTCTCAGCTCTGTGCCTTTGTGCCTGCCGGTCCCTTTCCCCAGGATTCCTTCTCCCTAAAAGGGTCTGAATTCTGCTCACCTTTTAAGGGCCAACAAGGGTGCCCTGAGTAGACCCCTGTCTCCTGAGCCAGAAGCATCCTCTCCCTTTTCTTAAGCACTTGACTCAAATTTCACTCATAGTACATACGGTCTTGAACTATAAGATTTTTTTGTTTGATTTTGTTTTTGACCACGTGTCTTTGTCTCCTTATTTAACTCCACGTTTTCCCAAGGTGATCTGGACGCTACCAAGTAGAATATATCAAAAATCTATCCCTGGTTTCCCAACATCCCTCCTAGAGGCAAAGGAGTTCAATGGCTACATTCAAACTCCGGAACCAGTCAGTCTTGCGTTTTCACACTGTGTCCAGTCCTGGCAAACTAACAACATCAACTGGGGCAAGTGACGTCACCTCTCCAAGCCTCTTCAGACGCCTCCAGAGTGCATGAGGGACTCAGGCCATAATTATATCCCTTATAATGTCTAGCACATTGCCTGGCACGTATAGGGATTCCGTGTTTGTTAAAAAAAAATTAATGAATGATTACATATATAACATCCCAAAGGTTAATTTTGTTTAGGAAGAGCATTAAAAATTTGTGCTGCACAGCTTCATGGCCTTGAGATGGGCACATTGCTAAAACAGGAAATGAAAAGCATTAACCATAAAGGAAAAAAAATAGACAAATTAGACCTCTTTTAAGGACGTCTCTTTGTTAAAAGACACCAGTGAAAAGGCAAGCCCAAGCCCGAGAGAGAAAGAAGATATTTGCTATACATGTAACAAAGAACTTGTATCTAGACTGGACTTAAAGTACCTACAAATTAATAAGAAAAAGGCAAGCAAACCGACTGAAAAAATGGACCTAAGACTTGGATAGGTATTTTACTTCAAGAAGCTATTCAAATGACCAATGGAGCAGATGAAAACGTGCTCACCTTTATGAGTCACCAGGGAAATGCAAATTAAAACCCACACTGATACCATTACACACATGTGGAAATAGTGAAGGAGGAAAAGATGATACTGAGCGATCCGTGGATCGGCAGGGACGTGGGACTCTCACGTGTGCTGATGGAAGCATGTACTGGTAGGATGGTAGACTCTCCGGGGGAGACCATTTGGCAGTGTCTCCAGAAGCTGAACATACACCTACAAGATGACCACAGCAGTCCCACCTGTTGGTATCTATTCAACAGAACGCAAACATACGTGCGCTGAAAGACATGTAATAGGTTGGACTATATGTATAAAATTGCTGATATCTGACAGCTGTTGATTTACAAAAACTGCGATTTCACACGGTTAAACCTAATACT